AGTCACTAACAGTTGCTTTGTTAATTTCAAGTTTTATGTGGGCTGTGTAGTAACAGACATTACTGCAACACACAACCCTTTACACTGAAATTGACAAATCTGTCCTTTCAAAGTCGATTACATAACTTCAAAGAACCCACCTAGCGAACACAACAGATCGCCTTTGTCCCTCACCGCATCATGCCAACTGCTACCCAAATACTAGGAGAGTAACGATGCATCGACCTGGCAAGTGACGCTTTAGAATACTGATGCCAAAACTGCACGTGGCTACAGCAGAGCCACGACGACCATCAACATTAACTTTAAGAAAGCTCACCTTTAAAAAAAAAGGTCCCGAGTTCAAGCCTCGGTACATAACACTGCCAAAAAGGCAACGTAAACCAGCCAAGGTCCTAGCTAATAAAAAAAACAATACGTACAGCGGCCAGACCAATGCTAGACAAATAGCAGCTTGATAACACCACCGTGCATCATCTTAAATGGCCAATGTCTGCCTCATACTCACCACTTGCTAAAAAAAAACCTTCCCGAAGTCCGAAGCCAACACTAGCAGTGCCATGCGTCTGTAGTCCCTGTCCCCCCCACCCATGTGACCATGCGTAATTCTCACCGCCGCTTCACCTTCCACCCGCGTGTTTATCCCCTCATTTTCAAGCCTCGCCTCCTCCTTGGCAGACCCTCTCAGTGTGTGTGTGTAGTCAGCGTCTGAACACGCTGCACCATCTGTTTTCAAAACGGGGATTTTTTTGTCCCCCAAGTAGACAGATCTATTCAGGCTGAATGACAGATTGAGTCTTATTTTTATATATATACACACTTCATTATGCAATGCAACATGTTCGTTATGCAATTCGCCATTATGTTAAAAAACAAATGTTTTAAACATGTGTATCATCTTGTAAAACTTGTTTGTGGCCACTCGTAAAATCTTATGACACCTAATAGTTTTAATTCTAACATCCTAAAGTTTGACGTGTGTTCACAAACCCTGGACAACTTTATAAATCTCCAGATCTCAGTCCACTGAAACAATGATTGTAGTTTGTATCATTTCTCCCTCAAAATTGTGCAGCACTAGGCAAAGATAAATTAGGTAAACAAAACGATATAACGTATTAAATAAAACAATAATGCAATCGTGCTTCCCTATAACGTGGTGGTTACATTCCTGAAGAACACCGCATGATGGAAAAATCGCGTTTTGATACGTGATATATAAAACAGGGTAAAGCGCAGTCCTCAATAACACACGAGAGATGCGTACGCAGGCAGAACAAAGACCGAGGCGCGTGGGTAGCATCTGGAAGCATCCAGCAGCATCCCACCTTGTGCGATGCTACGCCGAGCGAGCCATACAATTGCTTATTCCCACTCACGCCACGTATTTCCATTCACTCAATCACGTTATATCCAATTCGCGTCATGAAAACACGCGTTTATAGGGCAACAGACTATAAAATTGACAGTACTGCCAAACCCATGGGTCTTTGCTGTATTCCAATGAACAGGACATGGGATCTCGCAGTGTATGGGTGGCTGTTGTCCATCCGCATCGGGCGGCCAAGTAACATTTCATACGTGCTAGAGATCTGAAGCGGTGAAAATTATTCGGCATTTGCCTCATTTTAGACAAACTGTTTAAAAAGCAATGCCTTCTGAAAGCCCGTGGGTAGGCCCTTAAATCACACAATGAGTTCACAAGCGGCCGTACATTATTATTATATATTTCTTAAAGGAATGCCAATTCTTTAAAGCTGACAATGTGGTAAAAACATCATAGCAGCTTCAGATGAGCGAATATACTTTCCTATTCATCCTTCATGCGCCATTTATGCTGCGTATTGAATCACATTCGTGCAGTTACATAAACAGTGTGTATATACACACACACACACATCGCGAAATGCCAGCTGGATGAAAATAAATCAACACATCTGCTTGGATCCAACGTTGAAAGCATTTGTGTGAAGGCCAATAATCAAACACTACACTGTGTATGGTTTTAAAATAAGAGCACCATTTTCGGGAAAAATGCACCGCACTCTGATTTGACACAAAACAGCAAACGTTAAACGAACCCTCCCAAGTGTTCACTAACATTATTTGTTCAAGAATGTCTGACCTGGGTGGATTGTTTTAATGCTCTTTAACCTTGTGAGCACACTGCACATTTACATTTCTGCCCGTCAAGTCACGTTCAACATTAACACTACAGTACCTGAAAGAAAACACACACACTACAACTATGCTTGTGTGCCACTGAATGCAGTAACCCCAATTGTTTAACTTGTTCGATTTGTGTGCTTTTATGTGGATACATTAGACATTACCATTTATTTATTGATATACGAATTCGGATGCCACTCAGTATGCATATGAAAAGGTGACGTTTGTTTCCTGCGATCACTCGTCTAAATGTGTTTGTTACCTTTGGTGCGAAAAAAGTCAAATGCTGAGAATCTCAATGTAACCCATTCATATTTACAGGTTGCTGAGGATCCACGCCCTCCTCTTCTTATCATCTACGCCTCTACGATGACGATATGTAAATCGCCAGTAAACGCATTTCCCAACTTCGTAGAGCAAGCAAGAGGGAACTCTTTCGGCATGAAGTGTAGTGTCCCGGCTTGTGTCAAGAGGCCTCAAAATCCGCACGAGTAAAGCCACCTTTCCAAGCCATGCACCAAAGGGTGCTAGTCACAAACCGAACCAACAAAAAGGTAAAGGAGCTGAAATAACCACAAAAAAACACTTTGTTATTTTGTGACGAGGCCAAGACCAAAAAATTGCTCGGTAATTAAAAAAAACGAGTTCCATTGCAAGTTCTAGGCCTAGATTTGGACCCAGGGTCACGGTTTTCTGGCATGGCACTGGTCACCTGAGCAAGCCAGCAATATCCATTGCTGTCATTTAACGCTAAAATATTAAACTGACGAGATATTAGTAATCAAAACAATCATTTTCAGAGTGGTCGATTACATAAATAACCCGATTGGCCAAGTTTTATCGATGCGCAAGTTGGTTAAAATCACAAAACCACTTGCGGACTTTCAACAGCCATCTTCGGAGCAGCCACAGAGCAGGTAAATGATAGCGATTCACTTGAATGTAACAGGTGTCATCAAAACTTTGGGTGAACATTGCCGAGCTCTGTTGGGATAAAAGCTATCCCTAAAAACAAGCTTTTTTTAAATAAAAAGAAAAGAAAATACACCTATCATGTAAAAATGTAGGAACTTCAGATGCCACTCGAACTGATAACTTAAACGTACGCGTAAAAACTCACTGGACTTTGAGTACAGTGTATGGCTGAAGCATTCGGCCAGCAATTTGGAATGTTGCGAATTAAAATCCCAGTCTGGAGTCAACTCATCTTTCTGAAGTCAATAAAATTAGTATCAAAATTGATGTGGAAAGGGAAGAATGGTTGGCTTACGGCCAATCTTAGCCCATGTTATGGTAATGTTGACATTCCACTACCTTTTGATTTAAAGCTTTCGTGACTGAAGTAATTCATATTCTTAGCTCTTTCGGTAAAGTCACGTTGAAGGGAAACAACAAAATAAATATAAAACTATAAAAATTCTCACGACGTTTCGACCATAACACAAACGGTCGTCATCAGGTGTGTCGGTTTGCATTAATTAATTTATTTTTAAACGGTGTATTTATTTATAAAAAAACGTCAGCGCCACGCGCAGCGATTTGGCAGTTTATTTAGAAGGACTAGTCCATCTATGTTCTGAAAAGAGTAGGGGGGAGACGAAAAATTAATGTATACTGTCCGAAAGCCACTGTAAGCGTGAACAATCAATTAAGACCTGAAATGGTTTATCAAATCTTTCCAATGATTGCCAAGCCAGAATCCATCTTCTAGGTTGAAATTGCCTCTGTGCTTGTATGTGGATAGCCTCATGAACGAATCTCTCATGGTAGCCAGATGGCTTACAAAGAACCTCTGTCTTGGAAAAGTCAATGTCATGTGAGCCTACTGAATTATAACAAAGATCTCCCGTATCGCCTTAACAGTGTGGGGGCAAGTGCTGTGAGCAAGCACCACCTATGAAGGCCGGCATAGCACTACGAGGGCGTGGATGTTCAGCACCACGCCCGACCACCTATTTTTCCTCAGTGGCAATATTTTCACAAACCGCACCACGTACTCATTTGGAGGTCAACTTGGGGAGGCCCAGGACCGGTTCAAATTGACCTCACCGGTGTTGGCCGCAACTGGGAATCAAACTCGGGTCGCAAGGTTCGTAGTGTGGCATGCTAACCGCTACCTTGATCTACATATACACACGCAGTGTACTGTAAGGTGCTGCAGTAGATGGTGATATATGCTATGAAGTTCTCAGCCACAACTAAACTAGAATGGCAAGTGATATCCGAAACAGTTCTTGTTGCTCCCCACCACTCCTCACCAACCAATATTGACCAGCATGAAGTATGGCAAAATAACCTCGGTGATAGACATGGCTTTAAGAGATCATTAGCCAACAGTTAACCGACTGTAAACGTTAATAACCATTTTACAGAATCAGATTTAATTATTTTTTTTGGAGAAAAAACAATTTCCAAGGCGAAGAGTATTCACCATCGCTCAACCATGTTAAAATAACAAAAATTTGAGGAAACTTCATAACACGCGATTTATTTTAAGGACACGGTCTCAATTTTTTTAAAAACAGATTGACAATTTCTGCAATTAGGTTCAAGCAGCTGGGCCGTTAAATAAACCAGCAGTGTCCACCATCTAATTATGGACTTATTGGTGCATTTGACCGGGTACAATGTTTATGGTATAAATGCATACTGCGTGAACTTAAGATGTTTGTATAAGTGTCATTACGCATTTGCCGTGTATGTTGTCAGCTGACACCACAAACATTCTTTGAAAATGGGACGTTTCATCTACAAGGGATTATCCAAGTGAAATACTTTTGAAAGAGTTAATAACGCGGGGGGGGGGGGGGGGGGGGGGTATATGGCCTTACCTCCTGTGGCGAGAGTCACCGAATGCAGATCGTGTCCATAGTAAGGAAAGGCAAAAGATAAATTCACATTCTGCAATGAATATTACAAGGAATAAGTTCAGCCACAATTAAACAATTGCCAACATCACTGAACTGCACACGTTTGCTTGTACTGAAAAACGCAATTAATTAACCCATTCATGTATCCATAAAAGGTTATTTGGGCTAGCACAATTAGTAACGAAACGGCTCGTTTTGTTTACGTGACAAGCCTTAATAATTGGCTGTGTCGGGTGGTGGCGGGTTAATGACACGTTCACATTGACGCGATTTAACCCCCCCCCCACAAAAAAAAACTTTTAACATGCATAATATTGGTCGTGAAAGCCTGCATGTTAAGCCCATGCCTTCAAAAATGAAAAACATCGATGGCTTGTCACCAAAATCACCTGGAAGGCAACCGATCTCATCGAATCGCAGAAGCCAATTAGGAATCGAGCGCGGAGAGTCGCTAAGATGGCGCAGCCGCCATGCCGCCAAGCGGGCTTCTCAGAGCTGCTGCTGGGGGGGGGGCAACGCTTGGCATAACAAACGGCTGTGGAGCACCACAAACACACTCTGTCGTGCCACCGTAGCATGTTACAGCTTTCACGCTTTCCCCCGCCTTCACCTTAAGAACCGCACTGACCAGCGTGGTGAGGTATGGACAAATAACCCCCCCCCCCCCCCCCCCGCACGGCATGGGGAAAGCCAGTAGATTGACAGAAGGGCTGTCCACGAACCTGAAGAACAGCCGTTTGTGTTTAATGAACTGTCAGGACAAGAACAAACTAAATAACTTGTCATTTCGACTTAAAGCTTTCGTGACTGCAAGGATTCATCTTCTTTGGTTCTTTCGGTGAAGTCACGTAGAATGAGAATAAAATAAGACAATAAAATTCTCACGACGTTTCGGCCACAACACAAGTAGCCTTCATCAGGTGAAAGAACAGAACTGTCGTCCCAAAAGGTCCAAAGAAGAACTTGTCATTTGTTTCTGAAGAACTTTGGTTGAGAGAGTTCCACACGCCACAATATTCATTCGTGAATATAAAAAAAATAAAGATTCAATATTTTGACCAAAAGGCCTCCAATGAAGGCATGAGGCCGCCTAAAGAATCTGAAACGTTGGTGCCTTATTAAAAGTTCAACTACATGCCATATGGGCACCATATCTTTCACAGCGACACATGCTCATGCAATGTTTTCATTAATAACCATACGTGAGGTCTAGTTTAGTTTTTTCTCGTGCTGATGTCATGTATTCATTTATAGCCATAAACAACTTGGAGTTATATACATTTAAAAAGTGAGTTCCTAGCTAGTGTTTTGAAACGAAATATTTTTTAAAAAATTTTTTCATTAGAGTGCATATTAAAAAATCCAGTGTTACATGCATTGCTTAGAACATTCAAACAAAGAATGTTCAAAGGATCTTAAGGGGTGCGAGCAAAAGAGCCAACCAGTTAAGGAACATCTGCCAAAACCCACATTGTACACTGGATTTTTATATAGAACACGGAGACAATGGCTATTTAATACGGTACATTTATTTCGAGCAAATTGGCAAGTTGCTTTGGTAACCGTTTATTGCTCATGCAAAAAAAAAGACCTCACCAACAGGATGGAGAATCCTGGCCCTACTAATGACGTATAAGTTGCCCAGACAAACATTTGTATAGTCACGTCCCATTCACATTATACACTTAAAACAACGTGGAATATTTACTCCCAAGCATGCAATAGTTTCAACCTTAAAAATAATGCAGCGTCCGACAGTTATATTTGACTGGGTGGAAGCAGTAGTAGTGGTGGTAGTGGTCATCTCGATTACCACCATGAGTCTGTAAAAGCTTACCACAGCCTGCCTGTATCCTCCGGAGAGAGACTCGTGAGCTCGGACTCCACCTGGCGAACCGTCCACGGTGCCGTCCAGGCCCACCCACATCTCGCGAGCGCGCCGGTCGCCAGAGCCGTACAGGCGCGACACGTAGTACGTGTGCTGGTTGTCCTGCGGATAGATGGCCGACGACGATTGTGGACAACGCTCCAACCCTCACCAGGAACTAATGAACCCACCAGGGCACAAAAGCCTTTGAGGCCCGAGTCAACCCTCCGATTATCATGGTTGGCTACGTATGGTGCGAAAGAAGTTCAACAAAGATACAACTCTGCTGTGCATGCCTGCCCACGGTGGCGAGACAATCTACAGCTTTTACAAAACTCAAATTCTCGTGCACTCGCCACTGCTCTCAAAAAAACCTACCTTTCTAGGAGCCTTGCATTTTTTTTTTTACACGAGTTGTACCAAGATCATGGACGACATTGCCATTCAGAACTTGACGATGCAGTTGTTTTTAGGTCGCTTTATTTGTATGTTTACTTTTCTATGGCTGTAACCATGTTTGTATTGTATAACCAGCTCCCTATCAAACATGAGCATTTATTGCCCAATGGGGTTTTACCACTGCAGCAAAAAACCTCAACCCGAAACACTGAAAACAATCCATGGCCCCGCAAACGTCGCCTACTCATATTTTTTCAGGCAGTTGACAAACATTGAGTTTTCTTTATCAGTGGCCTCAACTCAAATTTAAATTCCATCAGTTCACCTTCGGTGCACTTCAAAAGGAGATGTCATGCTCAAATTGGAGCAATGAGGCGGTGCGCTCATCTAGCGTTTACAGCCCTGACGAGCCAGTAGTGGTAATTCCACATTCCCATGGCATCCACCGTTGTCTTGGCCACAAAGCAGGACTAATTTTATTGACCCCCCAGGGAGGGATATTGGGCAAAGTGAAGCATCTGATGTGCGGTGTCCGTTTCGCTCCGAGACATGGCACCACTCATCGCCACTCGCGTCCTTCGAGGTGAAAACCGCCGAGAAGGGAAACGGCATTACCATCCCTCTGGTGAGATTTTAGAACCGCTTTTGTTTATGCCGTCCTTCCCCCACACCTCCCGATGAGCACGGTTGGCTATGGTACGGTGAAAAGAGCTCCAAAATTATGCATATGCTTGGCACAACATTTACAGCACCCTCATGAGTGTGTACTGGTACTGTGCATGCAGTCTCACAAATGTGACCACTGTGCGTGACTCAAAAACTAAACAAATATGAACGATAAGTAAAGCTACTTTTTGTCCAGTTAGGAGCACAATAACAAATTAATAGTTGCTTTAGCAGAGAGTCCATATGGTGCCCACACTTCACAACACGCTCAGCCAAGGCCGATTTCTTCACATCCCAGGCCAGTGTGGATTAGATTGCTCCCAGATACCCCGCTAGTTACAAAAAGTCAAAAAGTGATCAAAGAGATTTCCTGCTCCAATGAGCACCGAGGCAGTACTCAATCTCCTGCTTCAGATGGCGAGTTTATCCAAAGTAAACCACCGTTGACGTTCCGCCCCCCACAAAGTGGTATCTATTTTATTGACCCCAAAACGGATGATGGGTCGAGTTAACCCCAAGTGGAATTTGACCTCGCGACCTTCAGATGCGGACCCGCTCACTTCACCGCTGAGCAACCAGACCCGGTTACAGTCCTTTGTTAATCCGCTGCTTGATGAAAACAGATGCCCTCACACAATGTCAGCCATTGGCGGATGATTGACCATACTTCGCTACGCTAGTCAATGTGGTTTGGTGAAACGGTGTCGGGTGGGGGGGGGTCGGTGGAGTTTTGCATTATTTAGTATCGTGCCTTTCATCATACAATCTCAAACTGCTTTAAATCAAGGACACGAACAATTGTCTTAAGCATTCCTGGAATGGAAATAATTGTGACATTTGTGCGTCTCATGTACATTTCAATATAAACGCAAGTTGCAATTTTGCGACTACACGAAATCCTAATTGTGAAAAAGTGCACCACAAACTGCACCTCCGCTTAACACAGTTGGCTACGTATGGTGCGAGAGAAGTTCAACGTATACAAACTCTTGACTCCATGGTTTGTGACGGAATTTCAGACGCTGTACATAACTTCAAATTTCAGAACCAAGTAGAGATTGCATGGCACATCAATAATAATGGTTTCTCTAGCAATGCTTCGTGATTTTTGAAGGTTTTGTATGTTACCCAATAGCTACTGTTAAGTAACTATTCACATGATGATTTAAAAACTGCAGATAAGATTTTATGGATTTAATTCTCATTAGGCCCCTGGTGTTAAGTGCATTTTTTAACCTCTACAAACTTTGCCCTTCCGTCCTCTGTCTGTGCTATGATAAAAAAGGGCCAGTCTGAAATGCCAGATTACTTTTTATTTGATGGCTGCAGTGTTACTGACAAATGTGGTGTTTTAACATGTATATATGAATAATCACCGTTTTAAAGTGTGTAATTCATGCAAACTGAATCAAAAAGCAGTACAATCCACAAAACACAAGGTGCACGTAATAAGATGTTCTCAGCCAATTCATTCGTCTTTTTACAAATTTACCAGATAGATTGGGAATGTCATCCAAATAGATAACAAATGAATGCTGAACATCATTAATGCACTGGTGTTTTAATAATATAAATCTGATAACTTTGGATGGAACTTAAGTATATAATATCAGTCTAAAAAAACCCCCCACTGATGCTGCCAAAAGTACAAGATGCTCCCCAGACCTGTCCATTTGTGGCTGCATTAAACCCTATTTTCTGCAGTCACCACAGTATGCCCATCTAGACAAGTCAGAGTCCATCAACCAATTACAAAGATGATAAAACAGCATGCTCCCAAAACATCCCCGTTTAAAAACTGTGAAAATACTTATGTACCATGATAGGAAGATTTCATGAAATATCAAGTTTGCTTTCCAGACTAAACACTAAGGACCTACACTAGAGAAATGCAACGTTAAATACAGTAGAGCCACAATTAACTACACTAAAATAGAAAGAATGTTGTTTGCAAAATTTGGAGTTTGTCAAACATGAACAAAGCCTAACTTTAATAGAGTCAAATTAAACAAAGAAAAACACCGGTGCGTAGGAGGATGCCGAAGTGAGCGCGGAGAGGTTGCCCGCGTGAATTCTCCCGTGTTAAATTACAAAGTAGCCAAGAGTCTACAGGGTTCACCGTGCACGCATCACCTTCCCCAGCTGCACGCACATGCACAGTCATTTGTGAATGCACTGCTGAATAACAGCCATACGTCACCACGCAGAGCGGTGCGGTTTGGCGACAGTGGGGAGCATGCACATGGGAGCATAGAATTCAGTACAATGGGTTTCACGCCAGTGCCCTCTGCCAACCACTGCACAAGCACCACAGCCACCTATGGCAACCTGTTTATGAATGGTAGTCGACCATTCAAACACTACGCAGGGCTCAACGTTAGCCATCAAGCTCCGATGAAAGCGAGCACATCCTGGGCGATTTGGTCAATAGTCAGCTGTATTAACAGTGCGCTAAAGCTCCATTAAGTAATAATATTAAGTACAACTCTGCAGATGAGGCTTTTGTTGTCTGGGAAAAGAAATATTTCCATATGAACCTTGGTAGCGAGCGAGAAGGCATTGTATATAATACAGAATTGTTAAAGATAAAATAGATCCTTCATCTGTTCTTGGAATTTGGCACACCAAGGGCTAAAGGCTAGATTATATTAATTAGTAATGATTTTGTTTATGTTAAATGTCTTAATACGGCGTATAACCCACAAAAAGTGGAATCGGAAGCACAACTTCAGTATGAAAACCAAATGACCGAAGCTCAATTCATTTAATAGCGCGACATCTGAACAAGTCCTGGGCACCCAGCTTTCATCAGCACACATTGACCCGCGTGGTGAAGTATGGTCAATCCACCTCCAAGACCAACATGGCGTTGTGGCAGCCGAAAGCAGAGTTTGGACTTCTATATTTATTTATTTAAGGACTGGATCATCGCAACCGCTGCCCTCGTGGAGGAAAGCAACACCCACCACGACTTTGTCCGTGGCACCGGAAGTCCACGTGGGGTCAGTTGGAATCGATTCCGGGGCCTGGAAGGTGGAGAACCAGGAAGGCCAGTGTCGATTCCGCTCGGCGTGCAGGGACACGTCCAGAAATGTATCGTTCAAGCCCACATCTGAGCACAAGGACGCACACAACATGTAATAAAAAAAATAAGAGAGCGACTGCGTCTGAAATATATCTGCAAATATCCCTTGCCCGAGGTCAATTAACCCTGATCACCCAACACTGAATAAATGAAAACGTCTGTCATGGAAAAAGGACGGACATGCAGATGATTTTTGGTCCTTACCAGCTAATATTATTAATATTTTACGTAAAATAATGCTTTGGGATCAGATGATTTGCCTGCATCACATGCACTTGGATAGAAGCAGTTTTGCGGATAGGTAAATGACACACCATTCACAATGTGGACCACAACCATACAATTTACACTATTCATCTGAATAATTTAATTAAAAAAAAAATTGTGGTAATTTTTTGCTTTTGCATAGTTGACAGACATTATTCTGAGTGAAAAGGAATGCATATAAATGGAGAAAAATTATAATGAAAGACTAAAAGAAACAAATATTCCCACAACTGAACTTACCACACCAATTTCCCAACACGCTCACCGACGTTAAAACTGTAAATGTGGTATTCAAATGTTACCAAATAAGACACGGAGCAGAGGGCAACGCCATCAAAAGGTTCGCAGTCTATTTTCTGAATAAGAGTCTCGAGAATGTATGTAGGAATGTTGAACATCTTTCGCACCGTACGAATCCAACCGTGCTATAATCGGAGGTGCGAATACGTACCAAATTCCATATCCAGCAAGTGGGAACGATTTTGACGTTGGGGGAACGCAGCCATGGGGGCCCATGTCGAGTGGCCAAAGGGGCCTAGGGAAGGCTCTCGAGGGGTCATCGTAACTCGGCTTGGCTCCCCGGTCCAAAAACTTGGGGCTTGCCCCCCCCCCCTGTATTCTAATCACGGGATTTTTGTAAGTCGGACAAAACTACTCCTTATACGATGAAAAGAAAAATGCATTTTATAAATCAAAATCAGAATATATATTTATACTGGAGGAATCCGATGAGTTATAAAGTTATTTTTCACAGATGTCCAGTAGGGGTCGGTCAGAACGTTACAACATTTTTCTTAATACCTGCTTCCTAAATGCATGTTTATTAAAGTATATATGTTTATATAAATCCAGATATCCATAGTCGATAAATAATGTTTGCTCTTACAGCACGAGTCAAAAATCCAATTAAGAACCCGCAGTTCAGACTTGCAATTATTTTGACCAAACCACAGGTAAATCCAGTTTATTCCCAAATTATTCCTCAAATCGCTTCAAATTACCACTCACCAACAAGGATAAGCAATGCTTATTTTTTTCATGGAGGTGCAATCGGACAAAGACGGTCACCGCAGCGCGCCCTTTCAGATGCACTTCTGTGGCCGTCTGGAATGCTCTTCCTTCCGATATTAGAAAGCTGCAAGAGAACTGCACTTTTAAATTGAGGGTTGAAAACCAAATTTATTTAGAACCGCTTCTTACGTTGAATTTGTTGTCCTTCCCCCGCACCTCCGATAATCACGATCGGCTACGTAACATGCGAAAGAAGTTCAACATACAAACAATTTCAATACCACACTGACGATGTCACAGAGCGCGACGATGATGTCACTGCATGCACACAGGCGAGTCACTATCCGAGGAGGTAGCTGCAGCGGTTGACATTTCCGACGGCCACGTGTGTTAGTACACAGGAGCAGGGAGGATTTTCAAGATACAGCGTGGCTCCGAAAAAAGTTTCAAGCCCTTTGCCTTTCGACGACAACGATGCAACAGTGCATCGTCGCGTGCGAAATACGTTCACCGCACAAAACATTACAAGGTGGCCAGGTACTACCATGGCTTAACCGAGACGTTTGGCAAAAATGCACCAAGTCCTTGCTGCCAAACTTTGCCAGACCTTTCTGGCACGGGCTACCAAGTACCAAGCGATTCGTTTCAGCCGGAACTGTCCGCAAAGTTTTTCTGCGAATGACTTTGGTCCGCCACATGCATCCCACGAATGGCTTTGCAACAAACCTGTTCATGCGATTTTGGAGGTTATAGGGTACAACAATAATATAGATCACGGACAGGCCTACCTTTTTCACTCTCGTGGTGGTGCCTTACAATCATTCTTGTGGTAAGCCGGTCTGGCAGCGTCCCGGAATGTATCGAAGGAGACATTAAGCCATTTACAACCACCATCACCAACTACTACTACGACAACCACCATCATCAACTATTACTACTACAACCTAGATTTGAAGCTTTCGTGACTGCAGGAATCCATACTCTCTGGTTCTTTCGGTAAAGTCACGTAGGTATAACTTGTTTTTTTAAATATCACGACGTTTCGATTGCAATACAAGCAATCATCATCAGGTGGGAAAACCAGAGCAATATAATTTTTTTGCTGAAGTGGGAGAGAGATGGCGTGGTAAGATGTTACATAGCAAAAAAAACATTTTTTCTTGCTGTGGTTTTCCCACCTGATGATGAGTGCTTGTGTTGCAATCGAAACGTCGTGATTTTTTTACATTTTTTTATACCGACTTGACTTTACCGAAATAACCAGAGAGTACTACTACTACTACAACCATAGTCCATCATCATCATCGTCAAACTGCCTGGCCCATGTCCCCGCTGCCATCCTCGGCTTACCTGTGCGCAGTCGCCCGAACCCTGAGAACTACTTTCAGGGGTTTGGGTGTCCTCCTTCCCCCGCACATCCGAGTAGCACGGCTGGCTACGTACGGTGCGAAAGAAGTTCAACAGACAGGGTGTATGGTCCAGATGTCTTGTGACACCCCCCGCCCTGCCCAGCCCCGTATTTCATTCTCTAAAACGTAATGGGGCTGTATATTGCGCGTGAAAATATAGAAATGAACGAGCAAACAAAAATTATGTTACGGGGTTCAATTAAACGACCCTTTATATACATACCAAACAAACTAAGGCAGATGCCCCAGTCGGCCGATGTCCATCAACTCTTTGCAGAAAAACCCGCGATTATCAAGTCCAAGATCTCGCTGCAAATTATTGCCACACGAACACGGGGGAGAGAGAGAGAGAAGATCTGCCGATGCAGATGTTCACGGCAAGTCTTAAACATTTTTTTATACCTACGTGACTTTACCGAAATAACCAAATGAGTATGGATTCCTGCAGTCACGCAAGCTTCAAATCAACATTTAAAAAAAAAATCTATGAATCTTAACCCACGTTATTTTAAGTGGGACAAAAAAAAAACCCGGAGCCTTTAAGCCGCCCCGTTCTACCCAAACCGGGTTACCCGACGATCGACGCTCGATCTCTCGGCGCGGCAGAAACAAACGTGGCCAGCCAGTCAACAAACCCTCACCTGCGCCGCCAGCTACGGAGAACGAAGCCAGCAGCAGCAGCAGCCATGCCCAGAGCAGCAGTGGCAGTGCGGTGGTGGTGGAGGTGCGAAGCAGATGCAGGGACCTCATGACCGTGATGCTACTGCTGCTGCTCCTCCTGCCAATGCGCCCTCCTCGTACACCGCAGCAGCCTTTTAAACGCTCGGTGGTGGTGGTGGGGGAGGGGGGCGCCTTGTGGCGTGAGCCGGTTTTGCAACTCGTCAAAAGCCAACACGGACCCAGAGATTTGTGGCGTCCGTGTGCTCAGCTCTCCGGTAGCGCGGTTCGCTCCCAAACGTCGCAGAGTCCCATTTGCCCGTCGTTAAACACGAGGGCTGCGTTCAGTTTGCCCGGGCGAATGCGAAACAAAGCACAACTGCGGTCTGTGTCGCCTTACGTGAATTATATTTGAGTCTCTCAAGGATATTTTATCATTGGCTTTCCAGACCCCCTCCCCTTGCCGCCCAAGCAAGCAAAACTCTGAACCGGTTTCAAATTTGTCCTGGGATCTCATAAGCAGCCAAGCATGTTAAACAAATGCGGCTGGATTAACCAGATGCTGTTGGCAAGAGGGCCCCATATGTGAACTGTGGAACCCCGTTTAATGTAAAAAAAGCAATAACCCGTACACACACTCTCATGCACTGGGGGAAACTTGATACCCCGTAAATAATACATGTTTAAGCAATAGCCGGACAATCCTACTGGCTTTAAAGACCAATGCCGTATTATCCAGCAAAATGAAATACGTTTAGAAGCACATTTTTGGAAAGGTTTCGACCTAAAAGCGAAAAGTCGCCAAACGAACCTCACAAAGTCACTACATGTCGCAAGGCAGTCCTACAGTCGGAAATGTCGCCACTGGACAATTTACCTTGTGTCATAACATCGTGAACTGATCCTTAACACACACCATGCATCATGTCACTAGACAGTTTTCCAGGTATTAGACATCGTGAACTGATACAAGATCCTTAACACACACCATGCATCATGTCACTAGATAGTTGCCAGGTATTAGACATTGGGAACTGATACAAGATCCTTAACACACACTATGCATCATGTCACTAGACAGTTTTCCAGGTATTAGACATCGTGAACTGATACAAGATCCTTAATACACACCATGCATCATGTGACCAGACAGTTGCCAGGTATTAGACATCGTGAACTGATACAAGATCCTTAATACACACCATGCATCATGTGACCAGACAGTTGCCAGGTATTAGACATCGTGAACTGATACAAGATCCTTAACACACATCATGCATCATGTCACCAGACAGTTGCCAGGTATTAGACATCGTGAACTGATACAAGCTCCTTAATACACACCATGCATCATGTGACCAGACAGTTGCCAGGTATTAGACATCGTGAACTGATACAAGATCCTTAATACACACCATGCATCATGTGACCAGACAGTTGCCAGGTATTAGACATCGTGAACTGATACAAGATCCTTAACACACACCATGCATCATGTCACCAGACAGTTGCCAGGTATGAGACATCGTGAACTGATACAAGATCCCTAATTCACACCATGCATCATGTGACCAGACAGTTGCCAGGTATTGGTGAACTTGTGCAGGGTCCTCAATACACGTATGCACCCTGAATGGATCCTAAAATTAGCATATTGTCAGAATCAGAATACGTATTTATGCTGGAAGAATTCGATGAACTATCAATGTCTTTTTGTACAGATGTCCTCGTCCTATAAACGTCGCTCTATATCAGTTCACCACGTAGGCTTTCGCGACCAATATTATTCATAATAAAGGTTTTGGGGTTAGATCGCGTTATTATAAATGTGTTGTAACCCTCCACCACCCGACACAGCCGGTAAGGTTTGTCACGTAAACAAAACGCGCTAATTAGTTTACTGCTTCAGCCCACCGGTGTGTTGGAGAGTAAGAATTGTAAATGTTGTGGCGGTTTTGCAACAAATTGATTTAGTTTCATAAACTTCAATACTATGATACAGTATATGACTACATCTAAACTAAACATGTCAAGATTATTTGACCACTTTTCTCCAAAAGAAACCTCTTTGAGTAAAAACCTTGGCTCTGGAACGTAGGAAAATACAGTATAAGCCCAGTAAAAACAATACAGTATATGCACTCTGTGAACAGTGATGTCTAGTCTTGTAATGATTCGAGGGAACAAAATTCTAATTCCATTCCATGCTCATCAAGCTGCTCATGAGTTTGATTAAAAAAAAGTAAAATCATCCTCGTGTTATCCTATCCTATCTTCTTCTTCCGTACGTCTGATGTAGATGCAGATACAATTTCACATTCAGGCGGTCAAGCCAGATGTCTTCTTCGTATTTGTGGATCGGGGCATTGCATCGTTATATGTTGTACGGTCTGTTCTGGATGACCACAGTCGCACACTGGAGAGTTTTTAATTTTCCATTTGTGCATCAGGTATCCGCATCTACTGCCATGGTTTGTGGATGTGGTTTAGGGTGGGCCATGAGCTTTGTGGAAGATCAAACCCAGGGATCTTCTGCCATGCGTCTTTCACAACTAGGTGTTTGTGAGTTATTTTGAACCCGCTCAGCTCCCATCCCATGAGATTCTCAGAGCAGAGATTCTGAGATAATTTAATACGGGAACTTACACAGCACCTAACGTGTTAGGCAAAACGGTTAATACGATGCAAATTAAACAATGAAGGGACTGCTATAACATTGATGTACAAGCACAAATCAAACCCTCACACCACTTGTTATTAACACTGCCTTTGTAAAACAATATATACGACAGGCTGACGTTTTAGACAATGGCCCTACTTCAAGGAGTAGGGAGATGGGCTGACTTAAAGTTGGAGACCACATAGTACACTGTGGGGAACCTGAGAAAACTGGGATATTTTAAAGTTGATTAACAGTATTGAATTGACATATGAACAGATTTATTGTAACATTTAATTTGGTATTTAACTCAAATATATGTTCGCATATTTGCCTTTGATTGGTTTGGGTTGATATGCACTCCTTATTAATGGACAGTTGTTCACTTACCAACTTTTTGTTTTAAGTTCCCAGTTTTCTCAGGTCCAGTGTGTAATCTGCAATCTCCAACCTTCACGTCAGCCCATGTTCCAACCCTTGCTCTCTCCACCCTGAAGAGACATTCCTCGAGACACTACGCTGTCATATTTTCTGCTATAAGCTAGTGTTAATATTTTTTGTTGTGAACTTCACCGTGCCGTCGGAAATTAGAAAAATTATCATCATAATTTCCTTTCTCCATTCTCATTGGGTATGATTCTTTCCACCCTTCCTGCTGGCCCAATTCCCATCCTATCTCATCCCAAAATTATTTATCCTATTCCCATCCGTTGCTATGTGATGTCCTAGTAAACACGACACGTTGAGCCAACATTGATCCAATCACATACCAACGTCGACCCAACGTTCCATGTTTACTGGGGTCCCTTTCCCTACGAGTTCCCGTTTAGTTCATTTTCATTCCCGTAGAGTCTACGGAATCCCATTATATCAATCTCAAGAATGATTACATACACTCCTGTACCTGTTATACATGCATCAAATAAGATTAATGTTACTGTTCTATTCACGAAGTGTATTTTAATTGATCTAGCCTCGTATCCGAATGAGACAGTACAAGACAGAATGAGATAGCACAAACAAGACATAGTGTGGAACTGACTGAGACAGCATGAAACAGCTTAGGGGTGCCAAGGTTGGGAGATGTTAACTACCTCGCCTGGAATACAGAAGATCGTAGGTTGGAGCCTGACCCTGAATATTTGGATTTTGCATGTTCTCCCCGTGGTTGCATGGATTTTTCTCCGGGTCCTCCAGTGTTTCCCTACACATTTACAAAACATACGTTTGGAGTATTTGACTACTATAAATTGCCACATTATAAGCCACTTCGTTGAGCTATCATTTGTGGCCAGGTCGCTTCTGAAAAAATGATGTGGGCCTCACCTGGTAAAATAAAACATTTTTTTAGTTTAGTTTCAGGCGACAGCATTAAACATAGGGGCACACAATTAAATAGTACAGACGAGCCGATATTGATGAGACAAAATGATGCAAACAATACAGACAATATACAGTAGACAATAACAAAAAGGAGGCAGAGAGGAATTGATGTTTGAGTGGAAACGTGGGCCACGTTGAGAGGCTCCCGTGCACGTGTGGCCTCGCTCCGCTTTATCGCCACCTGCTGGTAAAGGTGAACATAAAAAGACAAAGATCCCCCGCGTAGCATGTAACAGACTGTTGGGGCAAGTGCTGTTTGCGAGCACCTATGGAGGCCGGCACGGCAACCGAGGAGGTGGGTGGCCAACACCACGCCCGGCCGCCTTTGTCTCCCCGTTGGTGATGTTTACGCACCGTGCCGGGTACTCATTTGAAGCTGAGTCGACCTACGGGAGGCGCAGGACCTGTTCAGATAATCGTCACTTGGTGTTGGCCGTGAACGGGAATCGAACTCGGGTGGCCACTGCTCTCAACACGCACACCAACCTTGTCCAGTTACTAAATGCACCGTGAACGCTCTCAATAATAATTAATGCAGTAATAACATTCAATGAACCATGAGCCGACGGAGCCGGGTGGGGGGGGCGACGGAGCCGGGGGGGGCGACAGCGCGAGCAGAGGGAGCCGACACTGACTCACTCGCACATCATGCACTGACTCACTCACACATCATACACTGACTCACTCACTCATCATGCACTGACTCACTCACACATCATACACTGACTCACTCACACATCATACACTGACTCACTCGCACATCATGCACTGACTCACTCACACATCATACACTGACTCACTCACTCATCATGCACTGACTCACTCGCACATCATGCACTGACTCACACATCATACACTGACTCACCCACACATCATGCACTGACTCACTCACACATCATACACTGACTCACTCGCACATCATGCACTGACTCACTCACGCATCATACACTGACTCACTCACTCATCATGCACTGACTCACTCGCACATCATACACTGACCCACTCACACATCATGCACTGACTCACTCGCACATCATGCACTGACTCACTCACACATCATACACTGACTCACTCACACATCATGCACTGACTCACTCACACATCATACACTGACTCACTCGCACATCATACACTGACTCACTCGCACATCATACACTGACTCACTCGCACATCATGCACTGACTCACTCACGCATCATACACTGACTCACTCACTCATCATGCACTGACTCACTCACTCATCATGCACTGACTCACTCGCACATCATGCACTGACTCACTCACTCATCATGCACTGACTCACTCGCACATCATGCACTGACTCACTCGCACATCATGCACTTACTCACTCACTCATCATGCACTGACTCACTCGCACATCATGCACTGACTCACTCACTCATCATGCACTGACTCACTCGCACATCATGCACTGACTCACTCACTCATCATGCACTGACTCACTCGCACATCATGCACTGACTCACTCACACATCATACACTGACTCACTCACACATCATACACTGACTCACTCGCACATCATGCACTGACTCACTCACACATCATGCACTGACTCACTCACACATCATACACTGACTCACTCACACATCATACACTGACTCACTCACACATCATACACTGACTCACTCGCACATCATGCACTGACTCACTCACTCATCATGCACTGACTCACTCGCACATCATGCACTGACTCACTCGCACATCATGCACTGACTCACTCACACATCATACACTGACTCACTCACTCATCATGCACTGACTCACTCGCACATCATGCACTGACTCACTCACACATCATACACTGACTCACTCACACATCATACACTGACTCACTCACACATCATGCACTGACTCACTCACATATCATACACTGACTCACTCACACATCATACACTGACTCACTCACACATCATACACTGACTCACTCACACATCATACACTGACTCACTCACACATCATACACTGACTCACTCACTCATCATGCACTGACTCACTCACACATCATACACTGACTCACTCACTCATCATGCACTGACTCACACATCATGCACTGACTCACTCACACCATGCACTGGCTCACTCACTCATGCACTGACTCACTCACACATCATACACTGACTCACTCACACCATGCACTGACTCACTCACACATCATGCACTGACTCACTCGCACATCATACACTGACTCACTCACACATCATACACTGACTCACTCGCACATCATGCACTGACTCACTCACGCATCATACACTGACTCACTCACTCATCATGCACTGACTCACTCGCACATCATACACTGACCCACTCACACATCATGCACTGACTCACTCGCACATCATGCACTGACTCACTCACACATCATACACTGACTCACTCACACATCATGCACTGACTCACTCACACATCATACACTGACTCACTCGCACATCATACACTGACTCACTCGCACATCATACACTGACTCACTCGCACATCATGCACTGACTCACTCACGCATCATACACTGACTCACTCACTCATCATGCACTGACTCACTCACTCATCATGCACTGACTCACTCGCACATCATGCACTGACTCACTCACTCATCATGCACTGACTCACTCGCACATCATGCACTGACTCACTCGCACATCATGCACTGACTCACTCACTCATCATGCACTGACTCACTCGCACATCATGCACTGACTCACTCACTCATCATGCACTGACTCACTCGCACATCATGCACTGACTCACTCACACATCATACACTGACTCACTCAC